GTATTCATTTACCAGCCAATTTAAAATCTTAAAAATAAAAAATTGGAACAACTCTAGTTTAGTAAAAACGATCAGATTTTTCCGAAATTTTTTCCAGAGGTAGGTATTTTTACCCTAACTATGGGGATATCTTTTTTTCTTGGGGGACGTACCTGGTTACCCGGTTATTTGACCCGGATGTTCGGGTTCGGGTACCCGGTTATATCGGGTTCAACGGATCCTGTTAATATAAAATGGGTATCATTTTAAAGGTTATAAAAATACCTTTCAATTGAATGTGATACCCATTTTATATTAACAGGATCCGTTGAACCCGATATAACCGGGTACCCGAACCCGAACATCCGGGTCAAATAACCGGGTAACCAGGTACGTCCCCCAAGAAAAAAAGATATCCCCATAGTTAGGGTAAAAATACCTACCTCTGGAAAAAATTTCGGAAAAATCTGATCGTTTTTACTAAACTAGAGTTGTTCCAATTTTTTATTTTTAAGATTTTAAATTGGCTGGTAAATGAATACCAATGCTTCTTAATATTTGTAACTTTGCACATACACCTAAACAACAATTTTTACTGGTCAAAGCAAATGTGAATAGCACTAATTTAGGGGAATTCCCTTTTTTACACGGCTACTGCTGGAACCAATCTACCGTGTAAAAACAGACTAAGGTGTATATATTTGAAGATTTAAAAAGGAAGAAAAATAAATTACAAAAATTGTTTGTTGTTTTTGTTTGTGATCAAAGAAAAGTCCTTATTTTTGATGGCGGATACGATAACTCAAAAACTAATAATCCAATCGATTTCAAAATTTGGGATGTTTTCTGTGAGTGTATGAACTAGGATAAAGCCAATCGGTGAAGTTCTTACTTATTTTTTAACTTAGTTTGTGGTGGACTCGATGGTATGAAATTCCTTGTCATCATTATCCCCCCGAAACAACGCCTGTACTTGGATCATAACCATTTGCACAAAAATTCACTGTTCATTTCGTTGTGTCGCTCATACAAGCGTCGTTGATTGAAATAAAAACGACAAGCATGCACGTATAGACACACAACAAGCATGGACTATTAATAAGGTCTACAGGGGGTAAATTCATGCCTAATACTACATTTACACTGTACTAGATTTAGTAAATGCAGTAGATCTAAATTGTTCTAATGTACATACTATTTTATGCTTAAGTCTTCCCTTTTTATCTTTTAAAAACTAAGGCAATTTTTCAACATTTTTTAAATATATTGAATTAAAAAATGAACAAAGTTAGCTTCGGCAAAGGCATCGATATAGTTTTAAAAGATTAAAAACTTTCCTAAAATACACAAAATTAATATTAAATGGGGTAAAAAATAAAGGGGAGAGGGGGCACCTTTGAACAGCGCTCATAAAATCTCGATTTAAAATTTTCCCGACCCGCAACCAAAATTTTTTATGTGCCAATCTTGTTCTTTATCTGCGTAAGCCATTTTGGCTAGCTTTTTCAGTGGTCGACAAAATTTACATGAGTGACTATGTTTTCGCACTGCAATTGTAAACTTTTCATTTTTTGGTTGTAAGGGCGCAGGAAGAATTCAGTGATAGTTTTCTTTCGATAAACAATTTGTTTGCATTCCAACAATCATTTCAAACATATCTAAAATATTTTCTTTCATATATATTTACTACAAAAAAAGTTATTATAAATTTCCGTAAAATACCACAGGTGGGACACCTTTGAACATACCCAGTAAACTCCAGTAAAAAACGGAGTTTTTGACTTTTGGCTTCGATTTCTCAAAAATTTCAAATGGGATAATAAGATTACGAAATTAGATGTATTTTGCACCATATAAATTTTTGATTTTATGTCATTTTATGTTTTAATAAATTTTGATCGAATATTTTTGTATATATTTTTTAATAAGCATTAGAATGTGATTTAATTTTAAAATTAATTTTATTATGTTTACAAAGTGATTTAAGTTATGCTAAATCCATGGCATAATTACGCAAGGTAGTCTCATGCTGACATATGATTCCAATTTTTTTCATAAATTTAATTTGCTAATATTCAGTTTTTAAATTTTAATGAAAGTTTCCCCCTTTAAAATGCATGGGTGAATTGTGTTATATGGCAAAAAGTGCAAAGTAATGTATATTATTTTACATTTTGAAAATTTCTGAATGAAGGAATTATTATTTTTTTGTACATTTTCAATTCGAATCACTCTCTGAATAACCAATAAATTCCCTAACAATTGAGAGTATTTTCATTTGTACCATCAATTTTGACAGTTTGAAAATATTTATGGATTTTTCAAACTTTTTCAGTATGAAAATCATGAATGAAAAGTAAAAAATTGTATAGTTTTTATATATGCAGCAGGATGTAACTTTTGTTTTCTACATAATGCAATATGCATTTTTTTCCCTGTCCTGACCACCAGTTGGAAATCATTTGAATTGAGAAAATATAAAAATGTATTAAAAACAACAACATTTTCAGTTGGAAAACATAATGAAAAGTAAATAGATATGGGTTCATACTATAGTCAGGAGAAAGAGAATTATTTTTTCTATTTAGAACACTATGTTACATTTTTGGTGTAAAACAAGAAACAAAAAGTTTGAAATAAAAAACTCTGATGATATGAATTATGAATAGTGTTGTATGAACGGGTTAATTCATGTACGTAATTCTGAGAGCGAACTACGTTGTTCGGATGCCCGTCAGAACATGGCATTACATTTTGAAAATTTCTGACCTCTTTCATTTGTTACCATCACTATGTTCGAGGTTTGAATAGGGAGGCTTCCAGAGCAATTTTGGTGTCCTGACCACCAGTTGGAAATCAGAAATTCAACAACTTTGTTCTACAAAAAACTGAATTTGAACAAATGTTGCATACCAAAATACTCGTAGAGACTCCCTCTTTCATTTGGTACCATCACTTTGTTCGAGGTTTGTATAGGGAGGCTTCCAGAGCCATTTTTGTGTCCTGACCACCAGTTGGAAATCAGAAATTCAACAACTTTGTTCTACAAAAAACTGAATCTGAACATATGGTGGATACCAAAATACTCGTAGAGACTCCCTCTTTCATTTGGTACCATCACTATGTTCGAGGTTTGTATAGGGAGGCTTCCAGAGCCATTTTTGTGTCCTGACCACCAGTTGGAAATCAGAAATTCAACAACTTTGTTCTACAAAAAACTGAATTTGAACAAATGGTGGATACCAAAATACTCGTAGAGACTCCCTCTTTCATTTGGTACCATCACTTTGTTCGAGGTTTGTATAGGGAGGCTTCCAGAGCCATTTTTGTGTCCTGACCACCAGTTGGAAATCAGAAATTCAACAACTTTGTTCTACAAAAAACTGAATCTGAACATATGGTGGATACCAAAATACTCGTAGAGACTCCCTCTTTCATTTGGTACCATCACTATGTTCGAGGTTTGTATAGGGAGGCTTCCAGAGCCATTTTTGTGTCCTGACCACCAGTTGGAAATCAGAAATTCAACAACTTTGTTCTACAAAAAACTGAATTTGAACAAATGGTGCATACCAAAATACTCGTAGAGACTCCCTCTTTCATTTGGTACCATCACTTTGTTCGAGGTTTGTATAGGGAGGCTTCCAGAGCCATTTTTGTGTCCTGACCACCAGTTGGAAATCAGAAATTCAACAACTTTGTTCTACAAAAAACTGAATTTGAACAAATGGTGCATACCAAAATACTCGTAGAGACTCCCTCTTTCATTTGGTACCATCACTATGTTCGAGGTTTGTATAGGGAGGCTTCCAGAGCCATTTTTGTGTCCTGACCACCAGTTGGAAATCAGAAATTCAGCAACTTTGTTCTACAAAAAACTGAATTTGAACAAATGGTGCATACCAAAATACTCGTAGAGACTCCCTCTTTCATTTGGTACCATCACTATGTTCGAGGTTTGTATAGGGAGGCTTCCAGAGCCATTTTTGTGTCCTGACCACCAGTTGGAAATCAGAAATTCAACAACTTTGTTCTACAAAAAACTGAATTTGAACAAATGGTGCATACCAAAATACTCGTAGAGACTCCCTCTTTCATTTGGTACCATCACTTTGTTCGAGGTTTGTATAGGGAGGCTTCCAGAGCCATTTTTGTGTCCTGACCACCAGTTGGAAATCAGAAATTCAACAACTTTGTTCTACAAAAAACTGAATTTGAACAAATGGTGCATACCAAAATACTCGTAGAGACTCCCTCTTTCATTTGGTACCATCACTTTGTTCGAGGTTTGGATAGGGAGGCTTCCAGAGACGGACTTCTCTCCTGATTCACTGGATTAAAATTTTTGTGATTTAGTAATACTTTAGTTTTAGATTATAATAAAATATGTTTCAAAATCTTCGTATTTTTTTTATTTTTCATTACTAATGAATTATGTTAACATTTTTATTAATAATTTTAAAAAATTATTAATTTATAATATTCTGCGCTATCTCTGTTGGAAAGCACTGTTGATAAAAATAGTATTAAACGTGAAATTGTGATGTTCTGTGTCACCCTGTAATTTCGATAAAAATTTTGTTATCGAAAGTTAGCGATATCGCTAACTTCAGTCATATCAAACTGAAACTAGGGTTTAAATATAATAACAATTTTCTATCTGATGGTTGTTGTATTTGTTGTAGCTTGGAGTTACCTTGCATAATTGTACCATGATTCCTTGCGTTTTAGGGATTGTTCCCAAAATTTATTGAACACATTTCTCGCAGCGTCAAAACGAGCTATAATATACTGAAAAAAAACTTGCTTGGTTGCACATCATTGGTAGTATATCCCAAAAATCGTATGTAAACAAAGTGTTGCATATTTAAGTCCTATGCTTGGTGTTGGATTTGTACGATGTGGCAACACTAGCATTTTTGTCGATTTGTTTTTATCGCGTATTTATTTTGTTAAAGGCAAATTTTGATTCCATTTAAAAACATTGCTTTCCAATTTAAAGCATAACCCATTTTATAAAATTCGTGCACAAAAATGTGGTTTATGACACACACTACAAGCGGTAAGTGAATATGGAGTCTCAAGGTGTCATTTGTTGGTCATATTTTTGAGCAGACTAATGAACAATGAGAACGATGCATCAAATGAATGTTGATGGCTCTGTGCCTTGCACTTATACAGAAAAAGGATGGGAATGAGTTTAACTTGAAAATGTCGGGATTAATGGATGAAAGGCGTATTTTTTTTTAGAGAAAATATGAATAAAAATTTTATCATTACTTATGGTATGTCGTATTTATTGAAAAAAGCCATACAGATTTATTTTAATGATTACCTGCAATGTATGTAAGTATGTATGTGCATGCATACTCAGTCCCGCTTAAATTTATTTGTTCTTGCACAAAGAACCTGTTTACCGTCGTCCATACTATGCTGCACTGGTAAATTTCAAATTTAATATGAATGTGGAAATTGGTGCTGAATTATATTTGCAAGCAGCGGGCATTAAACTGTATATTAATTTTCAAAAATGATTATCTACAAGGACGTTACATGTTGTGAAAAAATAAGCGCTCCCAAGTTCCTGATTACAACGATAAACTTTTTTCTTGCGGAAAATTCATATTTCCAGATATGTCGGATTCCAAAGTTTCGCTGGGAACATTGTTTTTTCCATTCATTTGTAAATATAAAAACCAATCTGAAGCGTTTGAAATCCTGTTTTTTATGTTCTCGAATCCTGCTGTTCTCACAAGTCTACTTTTTTTTATTAAATTTATCAACACCTCAAAATATTCACCTTATACCCTATAGGGTTTCCATTGACCAGAAAAATATTCTATGTCGTATTATGCAAGTCCGTCTGTAGAAATCTAGATAGACCTTGCAATATTTAAGATAGAGTTTCGAATTTTGTTAAATAAATTGCTATTTCTCCTAGGCTGTTTGGTATTGTAAATAGGATGGTACCCCCAAATACCCATACAACGGTACCAATTTGGCTGCAATTTTGAATTATCATTGGGTAACGGAACTATGTATCAAAAAATATCAACATCGGTCCACTTTTTACGATATTCCCTATATAAAGGTCCCTCCCAAATTACCTTATTTAGTGTCTATTATTTTCATTTTGTATTTTGAATTCTTATTGGGTAGCAAATCTTCCCACCAAAAAATATTAACATCGGTCCACATTTTACGATAGCCTCTATATAAAAGTTCCTCCCAAATTTCCTTATTCAGGGGAGTTTGGGTACTATGTTCATTGAATTCTTATTATCTTCCTGCTAAAAATTATCATTTCTTCTTCTTTTTATCCCGTGTTGACTCTAATTTACTATGGCATAACTCGCCATATATAAATGTCCCGAACAATTACAAATATTTTGCATGTGCACATCATGGTGGAGGAGAACCCCCTGAGTCCAATAGTACAAATGTACACTAATCTTCAAAAAATACGGTGATAATGATATAATACTGGGCCCTAATAATATCCTCAGGATAGTCTTATTTAAGGTTTAGTTCATGTAAGGTTTAGTAAAACCATGGAAGCTTGAGCATTCGTTAGGTACTGAAATAATACTTATATATTTACTAAATCGTTGGTCCTTTTTTTTTTTTTTTTTTTGAAAGGAAGATTAAAAATTCCTTATTCCCCTGCTTATTTATTGCATATAGATATTATTATTAAAAAATACTAGCCCTATTTTAAATATGTTCGTACAAACAAGCATCTAATGTGTTGCTTTAAAATATAGGTGATCGATTTTATCTATCGAATGATAAACCGAAATACACCGTTGGACGTGTCGGCACCGATTTAGAATTACAAAATGATAATTGTGTCAGTCGTTCACATGCTGTCTTCTATGTGACAGAGTCCGAAAATGAAACCTTTCTGGAATTAGAAGATATGGGTTCAAAATATGGCACATACATAAACAAGGATATCGAAAAGAATGCACCATTACCGAAAGGTGTTAAAACACGCTTAAAAAATAACGATATCGTTCGATTTGGCCGTTTACAAAATATTTGGAAAATTCAACAGCTGAATATTATAACTATCACATCGGCCTTAACGGCTGACGAAAATGCGCAATTTAACAAAAACATTAAATCTATTGGCGCTAAAGTTTTGCATCATTGGTCGCCGGTTTGTACCCATTTAACGATGAATACGCCAAGTGTTACGGTCAAACTATTGCATGCTTTGATCGATCAAACACACATTGTGACAACAAAATACTGGGAAGATTTGGCCAAGGCGGTTGCCCAGAGACAGCCACAATTACCCAAGCCGGAATTGTATCGGCCACCTTTTGATGAATCCGATGTAGATGTAAGACCGAAACCTCAAAGACGTACCATATTCAATGGCTTGACATTCATATTTCTGTGTCGCAAACATTACGATATGTATGGGCCCATAGTGAGAGCTGCAGGCGGAGCATGCAAAGAGATAACATCCGGAGTGCAAAAGAATTTTCTAATAAAGAACAATGTTGTTGTTATTCAATATATACCATCCACACAATCGCAGAGTTCACAGACCATAAATGAAATTACCGGTAAGTAGCCCATTTCTTGAATTCGGTTTAATCACACTGAATTTTTCAAACATTTTATATTTTAGAAATACTTGAAAGTCATTCCAAGCGCATTATACCCGAATACGAAATCGGTTTAGCCATTATAAAATGCTCAACCCAAGAAAACTGCAATCCCCTTCATAAGGTGCCCGAAAGTGTTCCAAATACTGTGGGTATGTCATCAGCAGATTTAAGTGGAGATGCGAATACTCAATCGATGGGATTCGCGATACCCGAAACAAACGTTAATTTAGTAACATCAACGCCGTATGATCTGGCGCCTGCCAATGATTCTGAAGATATGCAAGAAACCATGCCGAATATGCATATATCTGAAACACCCGTAGAGCAGCCTAAAAAACGTAAAATCATCAATGTCTTGGGCACCGAATCCCAAGATAGTGATGATGAGGAACTGTTTCAGTTTCCCAAAAAGACATGTAACCGAAACAGCGAACAGGAAAAAGTACCGAATACTTCTAACGAGGAGCAGCAGCAGGCTGCTGCTAAGGGTGCTCGACCAATTAAACGCAGTATGTTTTCAAGTTTCAATGACAATTCGGAAAGCAATAATAAAGTCATGAGGCCTTCATCGCCACTTCGAAATGATGATGGAAATGCCACCACAAGTACGAATCGCAAACGGCCACATATTCAGGTGTTGGGCGAAGATGATGACGACGTGGGAGGCGATGGAGATGATCTGTTTTGTTTCGGCGATACACAAACCAGCAAGAAAAAACGTGAAGATGCTGGCAACGATGATGACTTGTTTGCCTTTAAAGACTCCAATAAAAACGATCAATCAAATTCGGAAAATGGGCAAAATGAAGACAGCTGCAATGTAACCGTGTCCACACAAAAGTTCGTAGTCGTTGAAAAATCAAAACCGAAAAATTATTCCATGGTACAGATGCCCAAACCGAAAATTCTACCACGTAAAATTTCTGCCATTGATTGGATATCGGGTTCATTGGGAAAAATTAAAATAAAAAATGAGAACGGTGTTTCAATAAAATCCGAACCCTCTGATGTGAAACGTGAAAATGGTGAAGGATGTGGCGATGAAGAAAAAGATGACGAGGTTAAAATCAAAACGGAAATCAATGGCAATGATGGTAATGATGAACACTCCATGACCGAAGATCATCGCAAATGGTTGGAAAACATGAAGAATGCCATTGAAATACAAGAAATATCTTTGCACACAAATATCAAGATCAACGAACGTTCACATTATAAATATAAAGGTGGCAATGATACAACGGCAAATTTGAATGGAACTGTTAGGAATTTCAAGACATTTGTAAAGGTAAGTCAATTGGTATATGGGTATACGAAAATTCCGAATTACTTAATTTTATATTTTGCTCATCTTTCAGAAATATCAACCTCCCTCTGAAACAACCTCAATTCAATTACATATTCGTTGATTGTGATGAAACGATCAAATTTAAAATGCAAAACAGAGATAAAACGCATAATTATTTTTCCAATTACTTATACACATGAAATGTATTCTGTACTATAATGTCAAATAATAATGATGATAAATATTTGATTAGATATAAACTTTCTTGGTTTATATTATGAAATTATTATGTGTTATTTTACGTGTTTATATTCTGCACCTTCAGATGGAGGAAATTTAATTTCCGCATATATTGTAACGGCTAATTGTTTTTATTTGAAAGTGTTTATCAATTAACTGCAGCTTTGGAAACATAATTTAAGTCATTTTAGTCACATATCGTCGTTAGGTTTTGGTTTTTCAAACAGGTTCAAAAAAGACAAATTCAGAGGCCATATTATTTTTTAAATGCTCTTCATTATTTGAAAATTAATAATAACAAATATAAAAATTAAGCGAAAATATGTAATAATCAGGTTAACATCTTATTGTATTAGAACCCACATAGGAACAAAATATTACAATTTAATATAGAAAGAACTATACAAACTAAATGCAAAATTATAATTTTGAACTTATAAATTTTTTAAAAATATTTATCGCCTTTTTTTCTTCACCCGCTATTATTTTGCGCTCAAATAGTTTTGTGGCACCAGCCCATTCATGACTTTGAACATTTTTCGTTATACATGACTTTGTATTTTGTGACCTTTCCTTAGTTTCAGAAGTTATAAATTTTTGTACATCCTGAACAGTTTGCAGATTGTCTATATTGAATTTCGTTACTTTCTCACTAGCTGCTGGGGAACGTTCTATGATTTTCCCTAAATCAGCCTTCTTCAATTTTTTTGCCTTTACCGGGGTTTTTGGTGCATCATGACATTCCTGCTCCAAAATGTCTTTCATCGTTGATGCATCATCTTGAATTCCTTTTACATCTGATTTTGTTTCATATTCCTCCCTGGCCATGATTACTTTTTTTATAGTTTCTATTTGGGACGGTAAAGAATTTGAAATCGCTTGGAATTTTGATTTTTCATTGGAAGGTAGCTTCTCGCGATATTGTTGTAGATTATTGTAGAAGTGTACAGCAAGATTTCCCTGTTTTATACTTAAATTATGAATTTTTGCGAGTACAGCTAACAGTAGGGTGCAGGTTTCGAAAAAGAAATGTATCTTTAATTGACCTGTAAAATATTCAGCTGCCTGTACGCAACACTCAACAATGCGTTTATACAGTTCACAAAAGGCCACAAGGCGTGTAAGGAGAAAATCAAAAGTATCTCTTGTTGGTAAGTGTATCAAGGTATCCTCATCGTAGGCCACATCGGGTAGCGTACTTCTAAAGCTTTCCAAATCTCTTTTGAAATCCAGCCGCAAAAGACGACACAATGCCGAATTTATTTTACAAATATCTTTAAATCCTTTCATTTTGTTAAATGAATTTTTACGTCGTGCCATCAATCTCCCCAGGAGAGCTGCAGTTTCTGTGAACTCTTCCTCATACTTGGTGTATTTGCTGAAGAAGGTTTCAATGATCCCATGAAGATTTACCACTGTAAAAGGAAAAATCTTTAAAAATACATAAGGATTAAATTGTATATGTTTGACGTACCAAATGAAGTTTTTGTTGAGGGAAGTGTAAGAAATGGTGGTTTCTTTAAGTCAAAATCATTCCAAATTGCTTCCATGATGTACGATGTAAACAAACCCACTTGGCATGTGAGTTTGGTATGGAGTACGTTCAGTGATGTCTAGCAATGCATAATGTTTAATAAAAAATCCATAATTACAGTCAAGAAAAAGACTCTAAACTTGAAATACTGTACAGTGAATTTAGTGAATTTTGATTTTACATATATTTCCCTGAAATTCTACAAAGGAAACACAAAATATGCGATACAATACTAATAAATTTTCTGAAAACAAATGCCAATCTATGAGTCACCCTGTGTCAGCATCTGAGGTGCTTGTTGAATGTCGATCTAGAATTCCACAAACTCAAGGTATATATACAAGGTAGCCGCATCGGCGAATTTCTACAACAAACATCGGTTGTTGTATTTTGATATGTCAAAAATATTTTGCAAAACAAACAGATTGACAAGATTTTTTTACACAAATTCTTGTAGAAAATGTTAATAAAAGTATTGCCAAAAAAACTATTAGAAATTCGGAGATTTTCATTTATAATTTAGTTTTTTAATTTTTTGGTTCAACATTACAACAACATTTTTGACATTTATTTGTCCAACAGCTGGCCCGATGCGGCTACCTTATTAAATATAGCTTGCACAAACTTAATCGTTTTAGTCGAAAGTCTATTTACTTATCCCTAGGAAGCATTTAGGCAGTGTACTCCATTGACTGTTGTGTGAAAGTAGTAACTTGTGCTGTTAGGTAATAGTTTTTCCCTCAATCAACCAAATACCTCCCAAAACACAACAATGGCGCTTCGAAATGTTTTGAATTGTACAAATAATCTAGTCCGTCGCCAATTAATGGCAACATCCAGGGCCCAGCTGAAGCAAACACGATCATTTACACTAGGAGTTACCTTGAATCAAGAGTAAGTACGGCTAGCATGGATGGCAATGTGATTTAATTAAGAACAATCATGATCATCATTACCACAACTTTCTATTTTTTGTGTACATTAGAGTAAAGGTGACGTTTATTAGAGCCAGTGGCGAACGAATTGAGACAAAGGGCAAGGTTGGCGATTCTCTCTTGGATGTAGTTGTAAATAACAACATTGATTTGGATGGTTTTGGTGCTTGTGAGGGAACTCTAACATGCTCCACCTGTCATTTGATATTTAAACCGGAAGACTACAACAAATTGCCTGAAAAGCCCAGTGATGAAGAATTGGACATGTTAGATTTAGCCTACGATTTGACAGATACATCTCGTTTGGGATGTCAAATAATATTATCGAAAGATTTGGATGGACTCGAAGTCCATGTTCCCGCCACAATAAATGATGCGAGAGCGGCGTAACTGCTGGTTTGTTTACTTCCGCTTCGTTATGTGTTCGTCGTGCACAACAGCGTTTCTCTGTCGTCAGTCGAGTAGAAAAAATACTTTTGTAAATCAAATAATATAGGTAATTGAACAATTGATAATGTCATATTGATGGTATTTTATGTAGTTTTAAAGCTTTTTTTGTTGCAATAGAAACTATTTTTATAAAAATATACAGTAATAATAATATGTAGTCATCAAGCTGTGTTTATTTCTATACCCCCCAAAAGTCTCAAGTGGCTGAGATAACACTATTGGTATGACTAGAGACAAATTTTTGTTATCAGTTCAACAATAAAATTACTTGACATTTTTCAACTTTTTGCGAAGGTTGTTGAATCATTGATAATATGTGCAATTTATATCAGTTTTTTAGATTTTAGAAAATGGTAATAGCAAGACAAAGCAACGTAATTCGTTGTTTTACGATTTAAAATTAAATTGAATGATATAGACAGCAAGTAGAAATAGCTGAATATAGGAGCTGGATTGGGACGAAACTTATTCCAAATGAAATGAAATATTTTCCAATTGAAATATTTTTATAATTGGAATAAAGTATTTTACAAATGGAATGAAACATAGGAGCAACGACATGTTTTTGCAAAATATACGATTTTTCCTATAAATTTTAACGACGAAACCTACGAACATTAATATTTCTAAAAAAACGAACATACAACATGTTCGATGATAGTGTTATGTTTTATTTGTTCTTAACTGTTTAATTTCTATGAAAAAGATGTACAAAAATTAAATTTATTTTATTATTTATATATCAAAACAACCAAATATATGTGACATATGTCACCCATATTGTATTAATATCACGTATAAAGATTGTCGCTTTTAAAGACTAAATTCGTCGGTCGCTTGTTATAAGAGATTTCGAATGTTTAGGAATATATTGTTCTATGAAAATTGAAATTAAAAAACTTTTCTTTATATTTTTTGACATGCTTTAACATTTTTAATTTCATATTTTAATAGAAAAATAAATTAACACATTGCTGATGTGATAGAGCGTAGTTATAAAAATTCCACAGGCAGCAAGTCTGGAACGTGTTAAAATAATCATTTATGGATATTTTGAGAGAAGTGGATCCTTTCATACACAAGGGCGCCATTCCCGAAAGCCTCCAGTTAGCAGGTACCTTTAGATTTCTGGCTGTTGGTGGGTTACAAAGGGTAGTGGTAAATGATTTAAATATAAGTGTTGATGTGTAAAATATTGTGGAGAGTAATGAAAGTCCTGGAAGACAAAGTGTGTGCAAGCTGTGGACAGCTGCAGACCAGGATCCAGCCATGATGCTTTTATTTGGCATATGAGTGCAGCTAGGCAGCATTAACAAAAGAAGAAATGGTATGCAAAATAGTTGGCTTCTAGGAGACAGTGGTTACGCTTTAGAAACATTTTTTGACGCCTTATAAACAAGTGGAGCATGGATCTTGTCAACATCGATATAATAAAGTGCACACATCTGCAAGAAACGTTATTAAAAGGACTATTGGAAATCTTAAAAGTAGATTTTTTATAGATTCTATTTTTATTTTGATCATATGGTGGTTGAGTTGCCAGATTGATCTCAAAAATGTTACGCGATGTTTTTTATAAAAGGAGCCCTTTTTATTTTCTTAATTTTACTATAAAAACTAATGTAAATACTGTATTTTTTAAATAAATATTGTAAAAACACGTTAAATATTACTTCAGAGTTATTTTTCAACTTGTACGTGCTCAGAAAAACACGTACGATCTCATTTCGTTTTCAATCCACAAGGCTATATGTTCTCGAATAATATTCCCAATATTTTTTTGGAAAATCGGAATGGAGCACACCAAATTTGGGAAAATGTTTCACATTCGACCAAACTCGAAATGCAGCACATGGGCGAAAGTCTTGATTTATATTCATGCTTCTATACAAGGCAATTCGATTTTAAATATAGAACAAATCTCTGGTGGTTTCTAGGTTAAGAGATCTATCCTAGTTTGTATTATTTTTTATGTTTTGTGTAGTAAATATATTGTTACGTTCTTGGATTTTGCTTAATCCCGTGTAGACGTTGTTTTATTTCCCGATACAATTCGTACCAAATAAAACGCGGGTTCTTTCGGATTACGATTATTACAATGATTTTATTCACACAACTTTACTTTGCACTTTACTTTACTCGACGGTTTCAATTCGCGATCTGATTCACAACTCACTCACTGCCTTTCCATTTCCTCTATTTATATGCCCCTTGCCTGTCGCTACAGAAGTTTCTAGGCGATCTGGTAACGCCTAGATTACGAACAATCTACCAATGCAACAAACACATACAAACTTACATTGAGTAAACAATAACAACAACACATACAAACTTACATTGAGTAAACAATAACAACAACACATATACAGGCGAGGGGGTAACAAAGAAAGAGGAATTAAGCGATTAACAAGAATTGTACGACAATAACAAAATAGAAAATGGAAGAGGAAATGGAAGGATGTAGAAAAATCTATACAGTAGTTGTTGTTGTGAAGTTATTTGAATAAACTGCGTAGTAGAAATTTACGTTACAATTCAAATTCTTAAATTAACGGAATTCATCTAAATTAACTTAAATCTAAAGTTATATTCGTAACATTGCCCCCCGCTTAAGCCTGTTCGTCCCGAATAGGCGCAGTTCCCGTTCCGTAGGGGGCCAGCCGCTCCAAATGTACAACTTTCATCTTCGACCTGGGACTGTCGCTCCTCTGGATGCGATAAACCACATCATTTATTTTCGTGACAATCTTGTAGGGTCCTTCCCAGTGCGTTTGCAATTTGGGGCATAGTCCTTTCTTTCGTTGTGGGTTGAACAATAGTACCAATTGCCCTTCTTGGAACCCATCGGTATTTGCCGCTCGATCGTACCTTGCCTTCATGCGGTTGCTAACCATTTTTATTCGATGGCGAACTGCCTCGTGGACTTTACTAAAAGAGTTTTGGCTGTCTTCATCTTGGTCCACATTGTCGTTTGGGGTAGCACCGAATATCAAATCGCCAGGTAGCTTTAATTCATTTCCGAACAGATCTTTGGCTGGGGTCCGGGATGTGGAATCATGAATGGCCGATCTATAAGCCAGTAAAAACTTAGGAATATGCTCATCCCAGTCTCGTTGGCCACTGTCCACCACTTTCCGTAGATGTTCTTCCAGGGTGCGATTGAATCTTTCCACCATGCCATCTGATTGTGGATGTAGGGGCGTCGTTCTGGTTTTCTTGATTCCGTAGGAGTCACACATTTCCTTGAAGATCGCTGATTCAAAATTCCTACCTTGATCGGAATGAACCTCAGATGGAACACCATAGCGACAAATCCAATTTTTGCTGAACACATCCACAATTGTCCTGGCTTCTTGGTTTGGGATAGCATAAACCTCTGGCCATTTACTGAAGTAATCCATGACCACTAAGACATACCGGTTCCCAGAGTCGCTTGTTGGGAACGGTCCAGCTACATCCATTGCGATTCTTTCAAAAGGGGCTCCTGAATTATACTGCTGCATGTAGCCTCGACTCTTCCGTGTTGGACCTTTAGCTCTTATGCACCTTTCACAATTGGCGATCCAGTCGGCAATGGATTTTTGACAGCCGACCCAGTAGAATCTCTGCTTTACCTTTTCAGCGGTTTTTGCTATGCCAAGATGTCCTCCACTTGGCCCATCGTGAAACTCCGACAAGACATCTCTTATTTTGGATTCTGGGACGACGATCAAGTTCCGGTGAGATTTACCGTCCTCACTTTCCCATTTGCGATATAGGCAACCATCTTTTATAAGTAGACTGTCCCACTGGGCCCAATAGGATTTTAAAAGAGGGCTTTCGGAGGTAATTTCTTTGCGACTAGGTCGCTTGCCCGTTTCTATGGCCGAAATTACTTTGCCCAGAATGGGATCTCTTCGTTGTTCCGTCGACCAATCTTCACCCGACTCAAACTGCAATCGTCGGACATCAACGATATTCTCTTTGCACTCGGCCTTTGAGCAGTGCCTGTATTCTACCTTGCATGGCCGACGAGACAGGGCATCAGCATTACCGTGTTTTCCGCCTTCTCTGTGCTCGATTCTGTTTAACGGTGACTCATTGGTGGACTGTTGAGCCATTCTACTACCATCTTTCGTTGGAGGTGGTGACGATGACCTGGATCGTTTGCGCTTAGCTCTGCATTCGCGCGCAATATGGCCTGCTTTATCGCAGTTGTAGCATCTAACCCTGGGCTTAGTCATCCCTACTAACTTTGTTTCTTCTATTACCCGCCTCATGGCGTCCTTGATCAAGTTAACGAGATATTTGTGTTCGCAACATTCGGTCTCCAGTTGGCTAATCTTGTGGGTCTGGGGCTTAACAATCATTCTTGCCGTCTCTTGGGCAAGGGCAAACGACACAGTTTCGGCAAACGACGCTTTTGGTGACGCATATGTTGCACATTTAATCTCAGGGTCACGTATGCCATTCACAAAGGTTTCGATTTTCATACGGTCCAGCAATGGGTGATTCTCTCCTGGATACGCCATTAGCACCAAACGTTCCACCTCAGCTGCAAAGTCTTGTAACGTCTCGTTTGCCCTCTGTACTCTTCCCCTTAATTCCATAAGGTAGATGTTTTGTTTATGTTCGCCACCGTACTTACGTTCCAGTGCAACAATAACATCTTCATAGTTGTTTCTAGAAGCGACAGGAATACTCTGTATAACATCAGCAGCACTGCCCTTCAATGCTAGAAGTAGTGCAACCGCTTTGTCGCTGTCGTTCCACGAATTTCTAGAAGCCACTGTCTCGAACTGTAACTTGAAAACATTGAATGACGTAGAGCCGTCGAATACAGGAGGTTTGATTTTTAGTGTGTTATCAGGAACTCGCACCGGACCACCTTTAATTTCCAGCTCCGACATTTTCTTCTCCAGATTCGTAAACCTGTGGTCGTGGGCCAGAAATTTCTCATCCACAGATAGAATCTTCTCGTCAACCGACTGCACTTTCTTATCCAACTCTTTAATTTGGACCTCCACGGTTTCCACTCTCCTTCCAATAACTTCTGTAATGTTCTCGAGTTTCTCGTTCATTATTCTCGAATTTTCGTCAAACATTCTACAATTCTCTGCCTTGAGTTCATCTAACTTTCTGGAATTCACTTCGAACATTCGTCTCGTGTTTTCTTCTAACTTTCTGGAATTCTCTTCGCTCCTTCTGGAATTTTCCTCAAACATTTTAGCCAGCATTTCTCTTAAATCGTCACCCCTGGCAGCTACTGACGAGACTTCCCCACCGTTGGACTCGCCCATTTCCGATAAATCCACTTCATCCTTACTGTCAAACTCATATGTATCGATGTTCATACCACGGCGCTCGAACTCATCCAACAGACGTTTTTGGAGTTCAGCCTTGTTGCCAGTAGAGGACAATTCCAATTTATTCAGCTCCTTCTTCAAGTCTTCCACTCGTAGATCCTTAAACTTCATCGTAGTACTATCGTAATCTCACTTCCGACACCAATTGTTACGTTCTTGGATTTTGCTTAATCCCGTGTAGACGTTGTTTTATTTCCCGATACAATTCGTACCAAATAAAACGCGGGTTCTTTCGGATTACGATTATTACAATGATTTTATTCACACAACTTTACTTTGCACTTTACTTTACTCGACGGTTTCAATTCGCGATCTGATTCACAACTCACTCACTGCCTTTCCATTTCCTCTATTTATATGCCCCTTGCCTGTCGCTACAGAAGTTTCTAGGCGATCTGGTAACGCCTAGATTACGAACAATCTACCAATGCAACAAACACATACAAACTTACATTGAGTAAACAATAACAACAACACATACAAACTTACATTGAGTAAACAATAACAACAACACATATACAGGCGAGGGGGTAACAAAGAAAGAGGAATTAAGCGATTAACAAGAATTGTACGACAATAACAAAATAGAAAATGGAAGAGGAAATGGAAGGATGTAGAAAAATCTATACAGTAGTTGTTGTTGTGAAGTTATTTGAATAAACTGCGTAGTAGAAATTTACGTTACAATTCAAATTCTTAAATTAACGGAATTCATCTAAATTAACTTAAATCTAAAGTTATATTCGTAACAATATCTTATAAAAATACTCGCTGAATTAAAATTAATATCAAAGAATCAATCACAAATTCTCAATTTTAGAACCACATACATAACTATATTTGTTAATATTAATTTATTAGAGGCCATGAGAATAAAACAAATATTGCTTTATTTAATGTGTTTTTATTTTGTTTCCGATATTTCGATCGTCTTCGACGATCATCGTGAGGGAGTTTTTTTATTCACAGAGTGGATTACAATGGCAACACCTTTATTTCTCCACAAGGATATCTAACAGATGTAAGATTTCGGAGTCTGTGGATAAAAATAATCGTCGAAGAGAATCGAAATATCGGAAACAAATTAATAAAAGCAACAATTTTTTATTAACATGGCCTCGAGCCGAACAATATAAACATCTAAGGAAAACCTAAAGATTAAAGGTCAACAAAAATCACATACGAATATTATTTTATTTAATTGTAAAATCTTAATTTAAAACTACATAATATTTTCTTGGACAAAAATAATGGTTCATTTAGTATGACAAATGTTCGTTACATTTTTAAAAGGTTTCATTACAATTTGTAAGGGTCGTACCTAATTTATTGCGCTACGTACAAAAATACTCACTTTCTCACCTTTTTAGGATTTGATATACATCCGTATTACCCAAATACGCAAAGACTTTATTTACATCTGTGCCAATTGACATCGGCGAAAACGAATGGAAACATTTTTTTTTAATTGATCGAAAAATTGATACACAATTTTTTCAATAACTGAAATTCTATTATCAAAAAACAAAATATTCAAAATACGCATTGTCAATGTTGAAAATTTTCAACTTTATATTTTTATACGCAATGCGTATTTGGGTAACATTTATTGAAATACATGTATTTAACTTTTGAGGTGAATAAAATCGTACGCATACGCATGACCAACGCGTGTTGGTATATTCTGAGACTTATAGTAAAACTTTATGGCGAATATTTTTGTAGAATATTCTAACCTGGAACCGGACAGAAAATACTCCTTCAGTGTGTCGATTGAGGGTTAAAATAGAATGAGCTTGTAATCATTTCTGGAAAAAAGGGACCAAAAAGGCACCTTTAGCGTGTCGATTGAAGGTTAAAATATTGGAAACAAAATATTGCTCACATTTATATTAGTAGTATGAAAGGGTTTCGAGAAATCTTTATCCGAATATCTCTTGAAATGGATGAACATTGCATTTGTTGCAAATTGTAAGTAGGAAAATTATAAGTGGGGTCAATTTGAACATTTTTCTTTACCCAGAATTAAACATTACAACCTAAAATGCAACTAGTGAGAAAATGTCAGACGGTGTTGCCGACAGAAATATAGCCTCAGCCTATAGTTTGCGTAGGTCTACCGTACTGACACAGACTTTATTATTCGCTTTATATATGGTAATTGTTTTATTAAAGAGTTTTCGGATTTAATATTGATCAAAGCGGGTTTCAATTTGTTTCAAATTAAATTCACAAGTTTAAAAAATATTTACCCTTTGTGAGTGAGGTACCAGAAGGAGAGGACCGACGGGTCCCACCGTTGGCATAATTTTATAAAATTCTTACCATTTTTTGGGGGATGTACTAGAAGGAGTGAACCGATATTCCACATCTTCGAACTTGAACTAAGTTTGGAGGAAATATTACGATATGCAAGTTTGGATGAAATCGGCTACTTCATTCGAGAGTTATTGTGCGCAGCAGTCAGCCAGGCAGACATGCGTAAATGGACTCCAATTTGTCTAAAACGGATTTGGTCCAAAGAAACATGGTTCGGTGAGACACATTTTTATCGTATCATACACTCATTAGTCATATATATCTTATCTCATTACACATAAGGTTGAGGGTATACATTTTAAAAAGTGTTTGTAAGGAATTTTTGGTTGCATTTCAGGTGCTCTTAAAATTTTCTACCGGCTCTTTAATCTTGTGGAAACATTTGTTTATTCTTGTAATTTATTCTATTTTTTTTACAAATAACCAAAATTACATTCGGCACATCAATGGTACACAAATTTTTCAGATCAGGTTACTCATGATCGAAGAATTCTAGTCTCGAGAAAATTGTTTCACTCTAGAATAAAATCACGTACGGGTATTTGCGAAAAAATGACGTACGAATATTAGGAATTCTTCCTCTGCATTTCCGCATTTGTCTAGTATAGGACCTCTTTCGTATACTCCCGTTTTATGCTCCGCAAAAAACCAAAAGAAATTAATAATAACTTTTGTCGATAATTTTATAAAATTTCGTTTTGTTTCACTTCATTTTTATTCGTTTATTTTTCGAAACTTAATTAAATAAATACAAACAAGTTTATTTGTTTTGTTTTGCATATAGAACGGAAATAAATAATACAAAAAAATAATAAATAAATTAATTAATAAATAAATTACACACATACATAAATAATAAGAGAATCAGTTTTCTGTTTTTGTTGTTAATATGATTTGTTGTATTTGTTAGTTTTTGTCTATGAATGAGAGGTAATGGATGTTTGTAAAAAGAGATGTCGCAACAAGCATTAACAATGGGGATTTCGCATTGGGCAGAAGCTCGAGAAGTCTATTTGGAAACTAGGCTTTTAGGCTTCCATCTTAAGCCTAACTACCGCTAACAAATTAATTGTGATAACCCATGGGAGCTCCTTTGCGGTCGAAATGTCGGACGCGAACAAAGAGGAAGGCAGCGACTAGGGAGGCAACAGCCAAAACAAGCAAGAGCATAACAAGGCCGCCAACAAAGCTGGGCACGGACATACAGATGGTTTCAGGATCAGCATTGCGGGCTGATTGTATGACCACTGTTTCGTTATTTGCGTTGCTGTTGAGCGCGAAATTGACATCACCGGGGGCAACAACTTGAATAATGCGGCTGGTGTTGACATCGGTCATTTCTTGGGCATCACGTTTGTAGATTCTGGGCTTAACGACAACATCAATGGTATCACGGCGTCTGCGGACACCACGCAAATCATCAAGGCCTTCAACTGAGCGAGGACGTCCTCCCAAAGATACCAAGTTGCCACCTTCCATGTCGTCCTTGCGCTTAACGGTATTGTATTGACCTGGTTGACCGGGCAGTGGTGGAGGAGGCATGTGCAAATCGTTGGGATTTTGTGCAGGGGCCTGAGAGCTGGCTGGTCCAGATTCAGCAATACCGGCGGTTTGGGCTTGGGGTGAGGGTACAACATCTGGTTGATTTTCCGAATAGGCACCGGCTGAATCGCTGGCTTGGTGTCTGGGATCGGGATAGGCTGCTGGGGGCAAACCACCGAGACCAAAGTCCCCACGTTCATAAGCTTCAGGAGGTCCGTATTCAGATGAGAGACCATTGCCGCCGATTTGTGGCACACCATATTCACCACCGGCCAAACTGGGTCCACACTTAGGTTCAGGGCAATTGTAGCGGCACACTTGTATGACACATTGGAAGTGGACATTCATGGAGTCGGGGAATTTGAAGGCCTGGAAGTAGGCGAAGCTGACAACCGAAGCCGAAGGTCCAAAGTTCTTGATCTTCTGGAATTTACTCATAATCTTTGGTCTGACAACACAGCCATTTTGATCTACCAATTGGATGGGGGCACGTTTGCCATCATGGGCCACACAGTTGCGTACCAACATATCGAATTTGTTTTCGTCATCCTTGATGGCCAACACCATGGTCATAGTCTGACCAATTTTAACAATACCCGACACTTCGGAAGCCCAGGGACCTTTGCCAACTTGAATTTGCATCCAGCACTGGAGATTATCACCCAAGAAGTTGGCGGTAACAGCATGCAACATATCAACCTGGAATGGTCGGAAAGTGACAGCCTTTTCATAGAAATCATACCAAGTGCAACGCAATTTTCTGGCCTGATCCCAAACTTCTTGGACATAGGGGTCGTATTGAATAATGATTGTGTTCTCGACATAACTACCCGATGGTGTAGGTGCTCCATAGCCGGCAGCATTGTGATTAGCCGAACTTGTCATACCGCAACTATTGAGGAAAATCTCAAAGGTGGCACTCAAGTGGCCGGTACCGGGTTTCAAGTGAACACAGTGAGGGTCGCTGTAGAAGCCCTTCGAGAAGATCATACCATAGAAGGGGCGATCGAATTCGATATTGACGCGCATGTGTGTCTTTTCACATTGCACCTGCAAATGTTTGATTTGGGGACTATCGTTCGTCGTTGCCAATGGCCAGGCTTCGTCAGAGATATCATTGCTGGGACTGGCAGCCAATGCGGTTTGTGGTGATCCATAAACGGGTGAGGGCGGTGGTGGTCCATACACAGATCTGTGTTCAAGTGGCAGGGAAGCTGAATCCACATGTGGTCCCTCACAGTAAGCATTCTGATGTGCATGAAATGAGAAACAAAAAAATGAAAATAAATAAGAGCGGAAAATAAGAAACATAAAGAGGAATAAATAAATAAAATAAGGAAATATTAATTAATATTATGCGTAGTTATGATTATGAGGGTAGCAAAAGAAGAGCAAGAAGAAGGAGAATGAGTTAATGAATATTCAGTATGGAAATACCAAATTCAAGGTTGTAGAAAGTGAGTTGATAGTATTTGGTTCGTACGCATGGAATTGTGTTAAAACATTTTTAGCCATCTTCGTCATCGTGTTATTTTTTTTACCAAACCTATTTCATAATATGTTATAAGCTAATTTCCAAAAGGGGGAATGAATGTGGTTTTTGTTACAGTCAGCATTCGTCGTTATGGTTTTTTTGTGTGATTTCGAAATTAAGCTTCGCTTATTAATGTATCTACCCACTTGCCAGGTAGCGTCTCACTGCATGTAGCCAAAATTTACGTAACGTTTGCTTAGGGCCGTTATGTAATAATTTGGGGTAATACCATGCCATCATAATCATCAACAACATTTTGTCTGTAACATTTTGGTGTTGGTGTTGTTGTGATATGGGTTTTCGTTTTATTTAAATGGAAAAAAATAAATGGCGTTAAGGCGATGACGCAGACGCAGAAAAAAAACATTTACCATGACATCCGCATGGTTATTAATTGTAAGAAATTTTGTAATTTTCTGCTTCAAGTATGTATGTGTGTGTTTCAAGGAAATGTTGAATATAATCCATAATTTTGAAGTTATCATTGTCAGTGTAATTATGCTTTATGTTGTAAGACAAATAATTTTGTAACAATCGTAGGACAACTTACAAACTTTGCAGAGTTTAAATATGTAGATATATATGTGTGATCATTAGTGTTATTAAAAACCTTGAAACACCAGAATACCTGTGTTTCGTTGGACTTTGATCGTGTAAATTTGGCACTGCTATTTCTATTGCCGCTATGTTAATGATATGAATGAATTATTATTTTATATTGAAAATATTCAATATTAGTCTAAATTTCGTGTAGACTCAATATGACTGGGATTCAAGTATTTTAACCCTTTCAGGAGCAGCTTAATCAATTGTATGATCTGACAATTTGTAAGGAAAGCTAGTATAAAAATGGGTATTAATTGTATAAACTGAAAACGAACTTAACACGTTAAATTTTTCTACAAATATATTTGACAATTTATTAATGACTTTGTGTCTGAAAGGGATAAAGATTCTGTTTTTCTTTAAACTTACAAATAAAAAATATGTTTATGAATTTTACGAATTTTGAATATATTCAAAATCCTTAAAATTCAGTTTTAATTTGTTAACCGTGGTTCGTACAACCCACTTATTCCTGGAGATTTTTATTTAAAACATATTTGTTCTACTCTGCTTACTGGTAACGCTCAATTTCAAACATTTCAAATTATTTTTGTGGATACATAAATATCCAGATAAATATCTATATCCGCGTTGTCTCAATTTTTGTATTGGTCATTTTGAAACATGATTCCTCTATACAACACAGAAAACTTCTGTAATTTCGGTTAAAAACAGAAAACTTAAAATGTTCAGACTCAGGTGTAGCAACCAATACAGATGAAAAGAAAAGACAAACCGACGAACAAACAACACAAAAAAATGAAAGAAAATTTTCATGCTGAACGTAAATGAATGGAGTGAAGAAAGTTAAAACTGGTACAAATCAGAGCATAACTGCATTTTAGCCAACAACAAAAACACACGCACACACAATAAAGCTCAAATGTAGAAAAGAAGATTTACACTACACACACACACTCTCATAAATATGAATGTTTAGATATTTATAAAGACCTACATATAGACTTGCATGAAATTGTTGGAGCATGAGATATAATTTTTCTTATTAGAGAAAAAAACTAGTAAATTTTATATAAATGCGATTAATTTAGAGAGCTCTAATTTATTAATATATTTTTGGTTTTTATTGGATGAGAGTGAAAATTTTGTATAATATATAGATTTACTTTTTTAATATATGTACCTTTTTATTACATTTTTTACTTCTTCAAATTTGTTCTGGAAAAGGGGGGGGGGGCGAGGGCAAATTAAGTATTATTTGTAAATTGTCCAGAGCAAAATGTGCAAGTTTTTGCTGGAAAAATAATCAGCTGATTTTTACACTATATTAGGATATAGTCCTTTTTGAAAAAAGGATTGCTTTGTTGAAATTATGGAGCTTAAAAGTTTTTTGGCCGATTAGGGCCAATATGAAAAAAATTAAAACCAGTTTTTTTTTTTATTTTGTAAAACCATTTAGAAAATCATATTTTAAATAATTATATATTTATTTGATCACTTTTGAATTTTTTATTCCAATGTTTTAAAGAAAAAGAACAAAAATACGAAATCTACTCGATAAAATGTCAAATTCCATAGCGTATATTAAAAAAAGAAAATATTTTCCTTGAGGATTCGATTCTCTTCGAATATTCATGATTGGGCTGATTTTTTAATAAATTTTTGTTTTGAAGAAAAAGGACAACAAATGATGTTCCGCACTCCAATCATTTTTGTTATTTTGAATGTTTTGCCGACATTTTGGCGGTAAACATTTGGGTGTAAACATTCCATCAAAAGATCTTCGATGTAGGAAGGACTCTATATTCGGAATTTAGAAAGTTTAAGCCCCGAAGTGGGTGTAATTTGTAATTTTGGTAAAAAAAGATCTTCGTTCTAGAATATTTTCAAATTAATTTCATGCTATTACTTGGCTCCCAAACAAAAGTCCCCACTTAATTTTCTGTACGTTGAAATTCCTAGCCCTAGAAGTTCCTAGAAGGCGGTGGCCGCATCATTTTTGATATTTTCCAATCGAATCGGCTTCTCGAAGAAGGTATTTTTACCCCAAAGTGGCTGTAATTTGTTATTTCGAATTCTTGATTAATAAAAAAAGTTAATTTCAGAATGTTTTCAATATAAGTTCCGTTCCGAAATCTGCAAGAATCTACTTTTTACTAGAAACCCGTTCCTGAAGATTGATATGTATCACTATCAGAATACAAAATAATTCGAAAAGTTCGGGAACGGAAATCTAGTAAATAAGTAAAAATTAGATGGCACAATGAACACAACAACCAATCAGAAGTTGGCTTTAGTTCCGCTCCAAAACCTTTAAGAATCTACTAATTTTTCATGTTTAGCAACTTTTTACTCGATACCCATACCTAAATCCACAAAACTTGTAAAACATTCAACCAAAATTTAAGAGAATATAAATTTTGAAAAATTTTCTTTTACTAGTTTTAATCATGGCACAATAAATAGTTAGTCCATATGGAACAGCTGATATCTTGATTATCTGTCGTTCATTCGTTTTTTCCAGTAACATTTACTCAATAAGAATTTTAAATCCGAAATTTTCGTTCTCAAGATAGAGTAAGTAAACGAAGAACATTCAGTAAAAAGATCGTTTCGATACAGCTGATTTGGCGCAAACAAAAAATCAGTTTTTATGTTAGAAAAATGGATAAGAAGCGGAAAATTGATTATGTTTATAAATTCTTGCGTTTTCTTCATCCATTTTTGTTAAAAAATACAAAATCAAAATAAAATTCACAAAACAATCAATTTGCTTGAGAAAAATTTTGTTGTTTGTTTACAAAACATAACAAAACAGCTGAAGTTTTTTTTTTTTGAAGTACCATCAGCTGATATAAACATTTTGAATGCAGGATGTAACAAGTTCGAACTTCTGTAATCGTGGATGGTTTTATATACCATCCACAATTACAGAAAGTTCTCTCGAATTTTGTCCATTTAGTCCATGTGTTACATTTCATATAACTTTTTATACCCTACACAACTATGTTGTCAGGGTATTATATTATAGCTTTGTGCAGCCTCAAGAGCCGCGAAATATTGGTCCTAAACTCACCTTTAAGTATACCGATCGTTATATCTCGACTAGCTGAGTCGATCTAGACATATGTGTCTGTTCGTTCGTCTGTCCATTATAATTTGTAAACACGATGCAGGTCACAGTTATGGACCAATAAAGACCCCTATTGTTTTAGGTAAAGATCGGTTAATATTTAGTGGATGAAATGAACCAAATACTTAATTTTTGTCGGTTTTTCTGGTCGCTCAAAAATTTGTATTCTATAGCGTATATATTTACTCCTGAAGGACATAGAGCCGAGGAGTTGATAGTATATCCAAGAGGAGTGGTTGGCCTTTAAATTGATACCAATTATATTGTCGTATGTAATCTGATGTGGGAGTTACACGTAAATATTTACTGGTGCTTACATATTCAGATATTATTTAATAAAACATTGACATAATAGAGGGCGGAAATATAACGCTTATCGCTTTGAAATGTTCCATGAGGTTCCAGTTATGGTCAAGGACAACGCCTATAATTGTCGGTGATGATCAGATAATAATTTTGGGATGAAGTGGACCGAAAACTATTTTTTTTGTGTTTTTTTCGATTCATCTATAGGCTATAAGCCGAACATTACAACACCGCCCACGGTGAAGGGAATATGGACAAGTAATTAGAAGAGCTCTATTGAATATTAGAAATATTGGGAAAATATGTCAGTGTAAGGAGGAGGTGCTGTAGACCTTTAATCGGGCATGAAATATTACCCAGGCTCAAAATAAAAAAAATCAGCAGACAGATAGAGTTCTGTGGTAGTTGTGTAGAGTATCGTATGGTCGGCCCCGTCCGACTATACTGCTCCGCTCCCTGGTTTTATAATATGATCACCAACAAAAATTTCATTAATAAAGTTTCGAATTTAATTTGTTTTACATTGCCTACAATTTGTTTACCATAAAAATGGGAAACACCTCGTTATTCATAATGCAAATGTATGGAAATCTAATAATAATAATAACAATAACAAAAATAGCAAACAACTGTGTGTGTAACGGTCAATATCGAAATGTCGATCAAGAAATCGTCGTTGTTTTTTTTTTTGTATTTATGCATTCATTC